AATTTCGGATTACTGCTTTTCTCTAATTAACAAATTTTTCGAAAAAAAAGTTTATGCCTTTGTCAAAAAATTCGATTTTATAATTTTATTTTCTCGGTGTTTCAAACCATTTTGAATTCTTTGGCATCACAATTCTAAATCATATGTGTGCGTATACATCCCGAAAACGGGTGAACCGATTTTGAAAATGTGAAAGCCTTCCGATTAGTTGAATAGTTTTACGAAACAAACTGCCGAGCCATCTTTAAACTATTTTAGAAAACGACATTTTCACAAAAAAATACTAAACCGATTTTGTGGAATTGAAAATCTTTCAAAAACTATCAGCCGGAGATCGTGCTGATAAGTTTTTGGTAAAGATCGACTGGGCCTTTTTTGTAATTAATTGTTAAAACATGTTTTTACCCACTTTCATGAAACATTGATAAAGATCAGTGTCATAGAAAACATACGAAAATATTATGTCGACATTTGGTGGTCCTACAACAAGTGGATTAATTATAAAACTGTATTAATAATGTATAACATATAAACTATAACCGGAAATAGTTAACATCTTTGGCAAATTTGTACTATTTTGAGTAAATTTAAATGTGATTTAATTATAAAAACTCATTCAAATTTGAAACAATATGTTTTTACTTATAAAGTCGAAGCCACATATATCGCTAGCAAGTAGTATGATAAGTGATGAAACTCATCTTGCATCTTACTCATGATTCTATGTTTTAGAAATATCATAAACCGACAAAAGTTCAAGCAGGAGTACCGCTACCGGAGCCACTTGAGCTACTCGAAATACCAGGACGTGCAAACCGAAAAGCCCTTCGGAACCTACAAAGAGTTTTCAAAGATGATCTGTCGAGGTGAATTGAATATGTTCAAGAACTATCCGAACCGAAAGCAGAAAAAGCTGCGTAGGATGTTCAAGCCCAAAATCGATGTCAATGCGGAGATATCGGGACTGATCAAGTCTCTGGACAGGATTAATCTGAAGGATGCAGAGTTGGGTGCGGGTAGAGATCCGTCAGAGAAGAAGAAAAAACTTGCAGAGGAGATGGCTAAGGTGAGAAGAATTGAAGATATGATTCATTTTTATATATTATTTGCAAATTTATTTCATTTTATTGTTCGTTGGTATGGTTTTTACGATAACAAAAAAATTGATAAAAATATAAAGTAGCCACAAGTCGCCCAGATACTACAATATTTAGCTTGCGATTTAATGAAGGCTAGTAATAAATTAAAAGTCCCCTTAAGTACACTTTAGTCGCCCATTAATCTGGGATATGTTACTAAATAAATTAAATTTGCATCTAAGGTATCTTTGTATATGTAGACTATGGGACCGATTTTGCTGTAAAATAGACCAATATTATAATAAGGCTTTGTTATGTATAAATTGCAAGGCAAGTCTGTTATGTGTATCATGCAGTCAGACGTATTAGATAAAACGTTTTTATTAAAAATCCAAACCTTACAAAACGCATAAATGCCGAAAATCGATGTTATCATAACTGCATCTTTGATATATTGAATGGATATGGCTTTCTGCCAATTTTCAGCATTCTGTATGTAAACTGAAACAAAGCATAGCATAACATTTTACGGCAGAATCGGCCCATATATATATTTATTGTAATATCATATTTTAACCTCGCATTGTTACGCAACCAACACAAACTTATGCCTTTCTAATTCGTAATATTGATTAATATTATCATTAAACAAAAGTTACATTAATGTAATTACTGAAAATAGCATTTGTTAATTATTTCAGATTTCGGAAATTCAGAAGGCGCTGAAGAAACTGCAATTTGTGAATAGTAAGAATGTGTAGTATTTTGAACAAATGGTGTGGTATCAAAGTTTGTATGATTGTTTGATCAAATTGATATTATCAAATGTCGCTTTTTTACTTGGAACAAACTTTTTTATAATATCAAAAAATATTCATAATAAACAGGTCTTTTATTGCTTACGAAATAACTATTTGTGTGAATTTGGATATAGCGTTAACAACACAAGTCCACAAAATAAAAAAAAAGTTTTCTATGTTGGGTGGGCGGCATATGTTTTCCAATGTAGTTTTTACGGCTGAACACGAATCTAAAGTCAAAATTGGTGGTCAAATACCAAAACATTGATTTAAAAAATGTACCATTAATATTTACGCACGTACAATTGTGATAAGTTAAGAAGTATTTCAAAGCCTTCAATTGAGTTAAATGAAGTTGCAAGTTCAATGGCAGGTGCTTTGATTGCTAAGTTTATTATTTTGTAGTAAGAAATGAACATTGAAGATAAATTAAAAAGTTTAGAATATTTTTTTATGAACGACGAGATAACTAGTAAAAAAACACTAGAAACGGTAAGGATACTAAATTGTCGAAAAATATTTTTACAAGGAGACGAAGAACTCACAATAAGAGAAAAAAGTATTCTTTTTTCACGCTGAAGAAGAACTCCGAAATTGAAATCCGTATTCGAGGTGCAAATAAGAATAAGAGTAAAATCTACTATAGTATTATTATAGTAGTCACCTTAGTAACTATAGTATTTTCATTAACAAGTCTCAGGGTAAAACAGGTTTTGCTTAAATTGGGTGCTAATATAAAATCAATGTGTTTGTTCATGTTTTTATGATGCCCAAAAATTTCAAGAAAAAAAAATCTTAAAGTGTCATAACAACATCATGTACCAAAGTATATATTGAATGGGATGTTGAGTATTTTTGTAGGAAACTATACTTATTTTTAAAAAAAATACCATTAACTGCATTAACTTAACATGGCAATGTAATATTTTATTAAAAATTCAATAATGAATCACCCAATCTTATGTTACTAAGATCATATAAGATTATTGTTATTCAGAAACTCAGTGAGCCAAGTGTATCTTAAGAAAAATATCAAGTTAACTATATACTGGACTACACAACCTCAGGATAATCAATTGACTTTTATTATCGCATATTTTATATTACTCTAAACGAGTATGCAGTGTTGGATTAAGCTTTCTGCCGCTTTTTTATTAGACAAAATTTTATTTTTTTGATTAAACAATTAATTTTAAATTATTTAAATATATGTTTTAACTTTCCGCAGGGCAAGTTATAGTAATCGCAAAAAATCCAAAATTATTACGTCGTAATTTTGAAGATGGTAACTCAACTGTTGATCCATTCATATTTGATTACTTCATTATTAGAATGTATCAAGTAGACATAAACTTCCCGAAGGAGCAATTCTTTACTCAAATGTATAAAATTTGTACATTTTTAACTTCCCGTAGGGTAAGTTATTGTAATCGTTCAAAAATCGAAATTAAAAATTTTTGCATTTCTCGACGTTTTCAGGATAATCAATTCACTTTTATTATCGCATATTTTATGTTACTCTAAACGAGTATGCAGTGTTGGATTAAGCTTTCTGCCGCTTTTTTATTAGACAAAATTTTGGCATACCTCAGAAAAAATGGATGTGTGTGTGTGTGTTTCGGGCGCACGACTCAACCGATTTGAATGGTTCAAAAAACATTCGATTCCTATTGATATGGAGATTTGCTGATCAGTTTTTGGCAAAGGCAGGTCCAGCAGATACGGAAATAAAGAGCAAAGAGTGCAGAAAATAGAAATCGAGTTTTTGAGAGAACGGAGCATCCGATTTGAATGATCTAAAAAACATTCAATTAGTAATGATTAGGAGAAGTGGTTATTAGCTTTTGGCAAAGGCAGGCCCAGTCATTTCAAAGATACAGAACTAAATATGCAAAAAATTGCAGTTTTTGAGAGAACTTATCGTCCGATTTGAATGATTCCAAGAACTTTCTGCTTGTTTTAACAAAATAATTGATTTTGAAAAAAAAATTTGTTTCAATTTTTTTTTTTCAATTAACTTTCCGTAGGGTAAGTTATTGTAATGGGCCGAAAATCGAAATTGAAAATGTTTACATTTCTCGACGTTTTGAAGGTTTCTGGACAATTTGGCATACCTCAGAAAAAAGGATGTGTGTGTGTGAGTGTGTATGTATGTATGGATACAATTTTTCGTCCACATTTTCGGGCGCAGCGATCAACCGATTTGAATGGTTCAAAAAACATTCGATTCCTATATTGATAGGGAGATGTGCTGATTAGTTTTTGGCAAGAGCAGGTCCAGCCGATTAGGAGATACGGAGCAAAGAGTGCAGAAAATAGAAATTGAGTTTTTGAGAGATCGGAGCATTCGATTTGAATGATCCCAAAAACATTTCGTAATGACGGGGAGAAGGGGTGATTAGATTTTTGCAAAGGCAGGTTCAGCGATTTCGGAGATACAGAGCTAAATGTGCAAAAAATGGCAGTTTTTGTGAGAACTAAGCGTCCGATTTGAATGATTACAAAAACTTTCTGCTTGTTTTAACAAAATAATTGATTTTGGAAAGGAAATTTTTACTTCAAAAATTTTTTTTTAAATGTTTTTTTCAAAAAAAATTTTTTTTGTATGTCGAAAATAATTCAGATTTTTATTTTAATTCTGTTCTAATATACTTTAAACAAATAATTTCAACTTTTCAATTTAGTTTATATAATTCTTATAAATATTAGACAATGTTACAATATTTTTAATAATCTATTTCAAAACATTTATCATTCCTCGATCATTTCGTTACGGTACGGGAAGTTCCAGCAATTTGCTTTAAGGCACGATGCCATACACCCCACTAGTTTTTTTTTTTTTAATTTTTTTTTATATCGAAAATAATTCAGATTTTATTTTTAATTTTGACTAAAATTCTAATATACTTTCAGTTCAGTTTATATAATCTAATGAATATTTAACGATATTACAGAATTTATAAATCTGTTTGAAAACATTTAATATTCCTCGAACATTTCGTTAATCTATTTTAGTGTTATTTTCGTTAATCGAGTGCCTTTTATTCCCGCACCATTGGCAGCACTGGCACCCAAGTTAGCGTCATTCTTGTGTACTCATGTGATATTTGTTTCATGTTTTTTTAGTTTCAAAATGGCGAATGTTCGTGATAGCGATACGTCCTTGTGGCTCCACAATAAATTAGGAACTTCTAATGATTCTTGGACTGGGGGCTCGATATGTTCCCAATTGAATGCCGAAGTATTGAGGAATATCAAAGATTGTTTTCCCGATTTACAGACACAAGTCAAATTAAAATTATTGCTAAGCTTTTTTCATGTCCCGCGCAGAAATGTTGATGAGGTAAGATTGAGTGATGTCGTCTCGTTTTAATGCGAAGTAATGAAAAGAGAAAAGCAATCAGTGGTGTAAGTTTGCGGATACTGTCAGGGGCTGTTTTGGCAGTTGACATAGAAATAATTTGGGTTTGTTTTATATAAAATGAAAAAAATGTTTTGAATGCAATGTTTATGTTTGTGCATCCGCATCAATTGACAACAAATGTACTATTAAAAAAAGTGTGGAAAAACATGACAATATTGTTTAATTATTGTTAATTAATCAAGAATAATATAAGTTGTGTAGTAATTTAATGTAGTTTTATACTTAGTGCAATTGATATTCTAGAAATATGCTCTTTTGCATTTGTTATTCTAACCTAAAACAAATCATAATAAACACAAGTGAAACTATTGTGAACTTAAGTTACTATCAATTCTTTAGAAATAAAATACTCAATTAGTAAGATTTGTTGTTAGTTATATGACATCAAGATTTCGTATACAATTTGATACAAATTTATTGTTAAAATTGTTCTTAACAGTGGGGTTACAAAAAATTGTCCAAGCGCTTGAAAACCCATTTTATGATTCAAATTAAAGTTATGCTTCTTATTTTTTTTTTATATATTCCATTTATTGACATTTTCATATTTCTTTCTCTTATAAAAGCATTTTTGCTAAATGTCTTGTATAAAATGTTTCATTTTAATTTACTTAAATAATTTGCCTCTATACTAATATAAATATATAAAAAAGAATAATAACAACAATAGATAAATAAATATTTATATGAATATAAAATATTTGTGATGAAAATGTGATAAAAGTGCTTTGAAGATATTAGTGATAATGAAAGAATCTACAACTTAATGATACCAAAATAGTTGTATATCATATTGAAACAGTATTTATTTATTCAAGATTTTAGTCTAAAACTCTTTAAATTATAACTTTCATACAGTACAAAAGTGTTGGAAAAGAGGTACTAACATGAATGCTTTATCAAAATATTTTAATTTAAAATGATAAATTTTGACGACTTTAAGAAATTTGTGCAACTAAAATATAATTTTTGTTTTAAGTCAGTATTTAAACATTATTATTTATTTGTTCAAATTTAGTCTTAATTAAATTCATTATTAAATGTCCTATAGTAAAAGTGTTAGCAAAAAGGTAATTGTGATAATGCATATCAATGATTTGAAGAACAATTTTGTTTTTGTTCACCTATTACCATATATACTTTGTATATTATTGATTACCAAGTAATTTTTGATTCATTGTTCATTGTATTTAATCATTTTTATTTATTCATTCAAGATTTTGTGTATTGTTCAATCATACGATTTCGATTAGCATTTTGTTTTTTTGCACTACTAAGTTGTTTTTTATTGTTTAATTCAATTTGTAAATGATATAAAACTACTTATTCATATATTTACATGGTAATCACTATTTGCAATTAGTTATAAATTCTTTCAAAGCTTTCATATATTTATTTAGCAGTAATAGTTTACTATATGTTGGACTTCTACAACTGCAGGTGTTTTATTTGTTTGATTTTAATGAATTTAAAACACATTCAAATTCAAAATTTTATCCAATTCTGATTGATTGAATTTTAATTGATTAAACATACTAATTTAGCCTTTCTTATATTTGTATATAATTACTTTTAATATTACTCTACAAATTATTTTGAAATTTTTGAAATTATGTACTCATTTATTAATTAATAATCCTTTTATCTATTTCCAGTGGAGAAATGAATTAGAAGACATATTAGAAATAGCCACACTCGATTCTGAATTATGGGTTGCCATGTTAGCCGAAACTATGAAAACTTTTCCAAGCACTGGTTCATTGAACACGGAAATTTCGGAGTACGATGAAACTAGGCCAATATTTGCAGAACTTGTAAATGAATTAAAAAAATTAGTGAATCGACAAACAGATATTAATAATATTCTTCCTTTGGAATGTCATTATTTGAACAAGCCTGCCTTGATCTCAGTGGTAAGTAAAAGATAAATATTTATGATATTTAATTTTACAGAATGCTCATGAAAAAATATGTAAAAAGATAAAAAATGTAAGCGGTATAGTTCAGAATATATATATATATATATAATATATATATATAAAGCGAGAGGTTTTTCTTCAGATGGTGAAATAATATGATAAAATTGTTTCTTGGGCATCCATCCAATATTAAAAAAACAGTTTTATGCAAAATGTTTTAATTAAGAGAACATACGTTTCGGGTCCAGTTTGACCCATCTTCAGTGCATACAAATAATTTTTTTTAAAAAAATATAACACAAAGAACAACACAAAATGTAAACGAAAATAAGTATGAAATAAAAAATGAAAAAACATCAAGTTATGAAATTGTAAAAATTAAAATAAATAATATGTTTTATTGTAAAAAAGGTTATTCCAAAAACACATCTTGTTAGTTTGGAGACAGAATTACGTATAATTCTAATGCGATACGTAATTCTGTCTCCAAACTAACAAGATGTGTTTTTGGAATAACCTTTTTTACAATAAAACATATTATTTATTTTAATTTTTACAATTTTCATAACTTGATGTTTTTTAAATTTTTATTTCATACTTATTTTTTCGTTTACATTTTTGTGTTGTTCTTTGTGTTATATTTTTTTAAAAAAAATTTATTTGTATGCACTGAAGATGGGTCAAATCTGGACCCGAAACGTATGTTCTCTTAATTAAACATTTTGCATTAAAACTGTTTTTTAATTATTGGATGGATGCCCAAGAAACAATTTTTATCATATATATATATATATATATATTATATATAATATATATATAATATATAATAGATATATATAATATATATATATATATAATATATATAAAATTATCTGTATTCTTCTCAGGTTGGTCAACAACAACCGCCTATCAAACATTTTACATTGAAAGTAAACCAAAAAGTGCAGCATTACGTGCAGACTATTACAAAAGTCAGCAGATGCCGCAAGTTTCTGTTAAAAAAGTTTCTGCTCCCACAGTACCTGTTAGAAGTCGAGGAATGCCCAGGAAAATGACTGATACAAGTAAAATATGGCACTATACTTATGGCATATATTTTTTTATAATTATTATTAGTACATGTTAATAATTTATAAACTACTTTTTTATTTCGTTGTTAAGATAAATTTATTATTTACCACAATGGTAACACACTTTAGGCGGGCACCTTAAAAATATGCTTTGCGAGGACTGCTGCTTATTGGCGGGCATGGTATTATTACGCTTTGAATAGACTAATTTTGAAACCGGGTGTAAATACTTTTATTGGATCGGTTTACATGTGATATTGAAAGAATAGCTGGTACTTTTCTCAAGATTCAATTGATATTTGGTATTGAAAGACTTTTCGAATTAGGATAAGGATAAGAACCAATATGTTTTATCTTCAATTTTCTTTATATGTTCAAATTATTTTGAAGATAAATATGCAGAATTTACAACAAAAGGGTGGTAATTGTATATTTTATAAAATACTTCAGTTATTAGTAAGATTTATATGGTTCAACATCTCTTTTTTTAAATTATCATTTGCAATAATAAAATAATGGCATCGGTTAGCGCTAGTGTGGTTTACGCCGATAATTTGTCACAAATTGGAAGTGATAGGATATCACTGATTTTGATCGTGAATTTGAGAGTGATGAAGATTTTTTTCATCCTAGAAGACATAGAGTTTCACCGATTATGTCCAGTGATTCTGGACATAATCGATTCAGGTAGTGACAATGAAGAAGTGGGATGGTCAGAATTTGACAATTCTCCAATTATTGAACCATTTTTAGGTCAACGTGGCGTTGTTTTGAAACCAAATAATCCACAAAGTTTAAGTGAAGTGGTTCAGCTATTTTTGGGTAATGATTTGTTTGACTATATGGCTGAAGAATGTAATCGTTATCATTCACAAAACATTGATCGTTTTAAAGACAGTGCAAAATCTTTGAAATGGAAAGATGTATCTGCAGTAGAATTAAAAAAAAAGTTGGGATTACTTTGCTTATGGGCAGAGTTTGTAAGGAGAGTAGGGATGAATACTGGTCCACAGACAGAACAATTGAAACCCCAATTTTTGCCCAAGTGATGAGTAGAGACCGTTTTTGCCAAATCGGGTATGCTTGGCATTTTTCTAATAATGAAAATAACACCAATTGATTGAACACCAAGAGATTGCCTTAATAAAATACGTCCAATAGTGTTTTATTTCAAAACAAAATTTGAACAAGTATACAAGCCAGTACGAGACTTGTCATTAGATGAAAGTATTATGCTGTGGAGAGGTCGCTTATTATTCAAGGTGTATATTGCTTCAAAATCAACAAATATGGAATTCTGATTCGAATGGTTTGTGAAGCAAAAACAGGATATATATGCAATTATGAATATTTATCATCGTGAAGAAAGTCGGCTTCAGGATACAATTATACGCTTTCTACAGCCCGATAAAAACTTGTGGCATCATGTCTATGTGGACAACTATTACAATAGTGTCGATACGTGTCAAGTCCTTTTACAACATGGAATTCGAAGTTGTGGTACTATACGCAAAAATAGAGGACTTCCTTCATGTTTACAAGATATAACCCTGAGAAGAAGTCGCTGTTTAGTTAATATATCTACGTTTGTTAATTTTTTTTGTTAGTTTTATGTTTAAATATGCATTATTTAAATAAATTTATTATGTTTCAAAACAACCATGTGTTTTTTTTTTTTTAAATTGAGTTATAAACAAATAGTTGTGTTCATGCGAGGCGACGCAAAGCGTACTCGTGTTACTCGCGATTTGCCCGCTACACATATCAGTTTGGTCTGATGAGTATTTTTACGGGGCCCGCCTATAGTATGTTAATTTAAAGTCTTTGCTACGATCGTCAATTACCGCTTATGGACGTTTCGTAAACAGTAGACGCTGTACCGAAGCGGTTAATAGATAAATAATCTATAAAAGAAATTTATAATAAAGTTCTTTTCTTTTATAGCTCCATTAAAAGGAATTCCGAGCCGTGTGCCTACTGGTGGTTTCAGATCACCCCCAACAAACAGTCCGTCTGCTTCAAGACCCCCAATGGTAAACAAAACACTTATAAATTTGACAATAAGCTAAAATAAATTTGAAAATAATATTGAGAAAACGATCTCATTATTTATATTTAAAATTGTAGGTTAGAAATGCTGGAAGGAAGGATGGTGGTATCAAATTGTTAGATATTACAGAACAGCCTTTAGGTTACGCTGCTGCTAAGAAGAGGAAACGTATGCAGGGTAATTAGTCATTGATAGAAAAGTAAATAAGTAATAATGAAAATTAATAGAAAATGCGAAGGAAAGTGAATTAAGATTTTCTTTAACAAAGCATGTAAAGGTCAATTCACAGGTCATGAATGTACTAGTTTTTAAAAAGAAAATTGGTCGCAGTGAACATTTGAAAAACAAAAATGATTTATTATTTAATTAAAATGATATAAACCATTGAATTGATTCATAAAAATGAAATTATAATTAATTACTGGTAGCTGTTGTTATAAGTCAGCTTTCTTTTACAAAAAAATTGTGCAGCATTTGCTGAACATCTTTTCTTTCTTATAGCAATTGAAATTTATGGCTATAGTCTGAAACACCATCTTAAAAGTTCGACTACTAGAATGCATTTTTTTTTAAAAAAAAATGTCAATGAAACAAATTGCTTTGAGTACTTGGATAATATTTATTGGCAAATTGCAATTCAAGTTACAATTGTAGTTTTTCTTAGAGAATCTTAGTTGTGCGATACTTGCAATTTCTTTATGCCAATCTCTTTCAATCTTAACAAGTTTCAAACAAATTTGGAACGAAATCGCCATTTCGAAAGTCTAACAGCGCCCAATGTAATTCGGTACCAATTAAGCATCGACGCGAATCCGAAAAATGCTTTTCAGTACCCTGAAATTGCAATTATAAAATAATATTAATGCAAAGATACACGTTTTTGATCATGTATATTGATCTTTAGGTTTTCTTACTAATTTTTAATATTTTTAATAAATTGCAATATATTTTTAGAATTAGAAGAACAAAAGAAAGCATCAGAATTGGCAGCTGCTGCACAGGCTGCAGCGAGTGTTGCCGATAGTACCCCCGATTATGCAGCTGGTTTGACAAGTACTGTTGTTTTTACGCAACCAGCAACTACACCAGGAATGACAGTAAAAGAACGTGAGTAATTGTACCAATATTTATGAAATTAGTAAAATAGTTATTGAAAACTTTGACATGAATGACAGAAATGGAATGATATATTTGGCAACTGGGAAGAAATGGCTTAAAAAATCCATGTACAATCATAATCGGTATGTTTCACAAATACCTTGACAGCTGTGTTTCAGATGTCTGATTTTTTTTCAAAAGCGTATAAACTTTTATTATGAAATGATAGTTTTGGCTGATCTTATAAACTTTAATAATAGTTTATTTTTGTGCATACTGTAATATATTTATCAACTTCCCAGAGAAGCATGCTTTTGCCTGAAATTTTGATTTTCTAATTTGTGTTTCTCGACGTTTCAAGTCATTTCTATGTATGCAAAATTACACTTTTCATCAATATTGCAAGTGCAGTGCAATTTATTAAAAGTGACTGCATCAAAGGGTTACATCGAGTAGTTTTGCGCGATGATCGGCTGAATCTTTTCTTTTCAGTTAGCAGATTTTATCAACCTTTTCGCAAAAAATCCCAAACTTATTTTAAAATTTCAAAACCGTTTGAAAGATATCAGTTGGAAATTGTGCTGATTACTTTTTGGTAATGATCGGATTTGTAAAAAACAATTACAAAGATATTTAAAAATTATTTAGTTATGAAGACTTCGGAGAATTTAATTGTTAAGGTTGAAATATATTTTCAAAAATAAAAGATAAATACTTTTGCATAACTAAAGCATATAAAACATTAATCAATAACTTGGGTCATTTGATTGCGTTTTTATTTAATTTATCTAAACGGAGAGCTGAATGTCAAGTCGTTGACTTTATATGGCAAATGAATACTAGTACTACATATCAATATCGTGTTGAAACAAATCAGTCCACTATTATAAAGATTGCTATTGTGTTATTGTTGTGAAATTGTCATTACTTGCATAATTAAAAGTTACATGTGATTTACTGGCCTGGTTTTTCAAATTGTTTCAAAGAAAATTTCATCTTGAGTGGCTTATTCTTTTTTTTTCTTTTTTTTTTGATTATTTATTTATTTATTTAGCAATATATACATTTCCATATCTCAATCAGACAGATGTGCCTGGTATAAGAGATTATGGATTGCTTTATACATTTATACATAGTCTATATATATAAATATTTATCTGTTTCATATTACTTCATTTTAAAATTTAATTTCTGATAACGTTTAAAATCTGTGCTACTACATATGACAAAATTAAATCTGAATCTATTGAAAAACTTATGACCTCTAAAACACATAATTTATTGCCAAAATTAAGTATCGATATTTCGACTTTGCAAACAATAATTTGATTCAATTGGGATTATGTGAGTAACTCTAATGATTCAATTGTATTCAAATTCTGGTGCCTTTATGGTTTAATTCTTTTTTAATTTTTGTATTTATGTTAATTACCGTTACACGCGTTTTATATTTTCTTCAAATCAAGCACAAAGAATCTACACTTATAACAACTTATAAAATCTTCTTTTCTTATTTTTTGTTTTTCAATTAAACGTTTATATATATATATATATATATATATATATAATTTTTTTTTAATATGGTTACAGATATTATAAGTTTGTTTGAAAGATATCAGTTGGCAATTGGATATAGCATTTAGTTTTTAGTGAAAGCGAAAATAATGGATTAGTCTTTTGTAAAAGCGAACACGTTATTTTCAAAACAAACGGTTAACAAATTTTATTGTCACGATTTTAAAAGTTGCTAAATTTTAATTCTTATTAAGTCGTACATTTAACAAATCGGTAAATTTTTATTCACCTTTGCCAAAATGCCATTTACACAGAGTATTTTTTAGTCTGTTGCAGTAAACTATTGCAATAAATATTTTTATTAGTGTAGAAAATTTTGAGCATTAATAATATCTGGCCTTATATCTAAGTTTTTTATGTATAATGACATATAGAAAATTGTTATAAAATTTATTTCCAGCTACTACGCCTTCTTCATCAAGTTCGAACACGACATCTTCCACATCCGGCACATCATCTACAGGCAGCTCAACATCTACCACAACCGACACGTCCACACCTTCCAGTTACAATCCAAATGGAACGCCAAACAGAACGCCTTTCACTGGCGAAAGTCCTTTGGCTCATTCAAATATGGGACAGACCCAACAGACTATAATTCTCACACCCAGTTCCATTCGGCCACCGAATCTATCAGAGGATTCTGCCAGTCCGAGCACACCTGTAAATGAAATGCGTCATAAAGTAATTGTGGCATCACCGTTGGCAAAAGGCAAGACGCAGACCGTTATATTGGCTAATTCAGGAGTTTTGCAGAAGAATGTGCTGCTTGGGGTGCAGAAAGGCCATCAACTTGTTTCCAATTTACAAACAGGTGAGTTACTAAATAGATAACTTCTAGAAATGTTATTTATGGTTGTGGAACCAAAGTTCTAGGTTGCTCTTAAGGGGGTCTTCCTATGTGATGAGTTGAAAAAATTGAATTTTTTTTTATTTCATATTTCGGTAGATTATACCTTTAAAAATAACATATTAAAATTTCAAATCGATATCTCAAATAGTTTTTGAGTTACAGCCATTTAAAAAGTATACATATAGTATATAGTACAACGATCATTTTATCTTTAAACGCGTTTTTCTCAAAACTGTGTTTTTCAAACTTGTCTCCATTGTATCTCAGAAACGGCTGGACCGAATTACTTGAAATTTACAGGGCACACTCAATATATTTAAACGCATGGAATGAACTATTATCAATCAAAAATTTCAAAACTTCGATTTTTTATAGCAAAAAAAACAAAAAAAAACGCCTAATTTGCAACTTTTACTTCAAATGTCTATAAAACATCCAATTTTTTTTATATTCATTTGATTGTAATTCATTATGTGCTTTTAAGCCTACAAATTAAAACGCCTTTTATTTTTTTTGGTCAGATAAGCCGATCAGCCGGAATCGTGGAGACAGTGGGAGCTCTTTTTTTTGAGGGGGAGGGGGTGTTTAGAGCGCTGTAACTCTAGTTGGACTAAATTTTTTTAGCTGAAATTTTATATTTATACTGTCCAAATATGTATTAATAAATGATAAAAAACTTGAAGCTCTAACTATTTACTGGTCGTAGAAAAAATTTTCTAAAATATCCCTAAAAAACAGGCCGTCACATAGGAAGACCCCTTAACTCATAATTTTCAAACTACATGTAGTTTTATTTTCTATTTTTTTTATGATAGTTACGATCAAAACTATTACTCTATTTCGGCTTGTAACGTTAAAAAATCAGTACTTCTTTGAAAACGTTAATCTAAAGTAATTTTTGTTTTTTGCAGGTTTGAATAATAGCACGAATGTTCCTGGTATATCTAGCTTGCAAAATAATTCAAACCCGCCAGGATTGACCCCTACGAATATGCCGAGAGTTGTTAAATTACCAAACCAGCAAGCTCAGCCTGCGCAGAGAAAAGGATTATCTCTTACGGTAATGATGTTTAATTGTTCATCTAAATTGGTTTGAACATTTTTATGAAATTTTTCAAACTCCCAAAGCAGTAAGGGTTGTACACCGCTAAAAAAAAATTATTTTTTGGACCAATATCTTTTATTTTTTTATAATTCGGTATTAAAAACAAATACAGCCCTTGATTTTCATTTTAGTAATCGTGCAGTTATTCATTCCGCGTTCAGTCAATGAATGTTTTTGACTTAATTTTTGTTTAGATTTTTTTGTTTTTATGAAAAAATTTAAATTGATAAATTTAAAAAATATATTATTAATTCTGTTGTCCAACCGAAACGTTATTTTGTAATTTTGAGACCAATTTTCTTTATTTTATTTTTTATGTGTAATTTAAAAATACATACGTCTCTAAATTTTTATTTTCTTACCCCTAATTTGGTAATCACTGGTAATTTGGAAACCCCTATTTGGTAATCACTGAATTTTAATTCTGATATGCTTTCACCACAAAACCTTATTTTATAATAGTAATTTTTGTAGTGTAATAATTTTTTATCTAGCTCGATAAATATTGTTGTCAATGTTTTTCATGGAATTTTGATCAAGGTTCTTTTGAGCATGTGGAATGGCTTAAATTTATCCACACTATCCTCTGAAACATTTTCAAGACAATTTTTATGTATTGGCTACAGAAAGATACCCTTTTTACCTTTGATAAATCTAGGTCGAATTATCGATCATTCTTTTCATAATCATTGATTAGTATTTTGTGATTAGTACAATCAGTACATGTTCATAAATGGCTTGCAAAAGAGCAATTTTAGCAAAAAAAAAAATTATAAAATTAATTTTAGGTGAGAAAGCTACAATACAAACCTATGTAATGTTATTAAAGTCTGTTTGTCAAAAGATATAATATATACATTTTAGTGTAAAAACTTTTAAATTATATAGATAGTATCATCTACAGAATATCTTTTGACAGTCTTTTTAAGTGTTTCTGGTTCTGCATTTCCATTCATATGCCATAAATAATTTGTTGTAAGAATATTTTGGATTTTCTTTGTGATTGTTTTCAATATTCATTCTTCAGGAGTTTGAAACTAAAACAATTCGTTTTTCTTACAGAAGCCACAAATGTTGGAGGCACAAGAAATGTTTAGCAAAGCCAACAAAGTTACGAGACCAGAGAAAGCTTTAATATTAGGTTTTATGGCTGGATCTAGAGGTAAATAATTAATTCTTATATTTGTATAAGATATAAAAGTTTAGAATCGAAAGTGAGAAAATTTGCATATCTTTATATTTCAAATGTGCCACTTGATCCGTGTTCCCGAAATCGTCGACGAAAATTTGTATCCTTATATAGATACACACATACATACATTTTTTCTAAGGTATGCTAAAATATAAAAAAAATTATTTTCGATTTTCGTTTGATTACTATAACTTACCATACCGAAAATAATCATGTCATTTTGCAGTCATTTCACATATGCATCTCAAATTATCAGATGTTTCAAGAAATTTTAATAAGTACAAATTTTGTTTACATTTATATGGGTTTCGTATAAAAATTTATAAAGTTTAACTGAAAATGATAAAAATTACATGATTTTGAAAAAAAAAAAACAGTACGGAAAGTTTCAGCAGTTTGCGTTAAAGCACAATGCCATGCACTACTAGTTATCTAATCTAGTATCGCAGGACCACACAGTTGCCTTCCTATATCTAAATTTTCATTCTCATTCTCATTTGTTGACTTTACATTACAGACTGCTTCTATACCGTCTTCTATATGCTTCTATATCATCTTCTATACCAATCTCCAAAACCTTCATAATTTGTAAAACATTACTTAGACCATCATAGAAATTATTCTCAGCAATATCAGACTCTACACTAACGCTTTCTTGATTATAAATGCTTTATAAAGACATGTGTCAGATTTTTAGAAGATAGGAGACGTCATGGAGACTTTTTGCTTTATAGTTTCAAGACATTTTGAATAATTTAACATAAAAAATTTGGCCTTTGAAATCAAATTGATAAAGACTTGCTTCATTAGTTTGGGGCGATAATTGGCGGACCGTTCCTTTTATAATTAGTAAATAAGTGCAAAAAGTATTTGGAAATTGTATTTGTTATAATTTATTTTATTTGTATTATTTAATTGTTATAAATATGTTTAAAGTTGTAAAAATGGACCATACTTAATGTATAATATTTTGTTCATTAATTATTTGCAATAGTTTCTAAAACCACTTAAATTCATTCATTATTTCTTATTGATTACTTACACATGCCGGAAGTTCAAGCAACTTGTCTGAAGAATAATGCCACCTGCACCTACTTCATCAGTTTCAATGGACATTTAATCATTTTTAATTCAAAATTTTGTCTAAATGATAATTATTGATTTATCTCATCTTTTCTCTTTCAGATAATCCATGTCCTGATTTAGGCAATATAGTAACAATCAAGCTCTCTGAAATTCTGGAAAATGTACTACAAGAAGACGATACTTACAAAGCCATGCTCGTGGAGACACATTTCCAAATGAATTATGAAAATGGAGAGTGGGAACGAATAAAAAAATATCGAAGGATAGACACCAATGATGCTAAAGTTGTTCACCAAGGGCAAGGAGAGAGTATAGCCCTATAGCCTTTGAGAAATTCTAATAGGACATAACATTTTTGATACATTAATATTTGAGATTTTTTGATCATTGTATTATGATAAGATGCATTTAGCAGAAAGTCTTGAATGCGTTTATGCAAAAAGTATTGCATTTGTTTAGTGCTTGTATGGTCAATACCAAACTCGAGTGGCTTAATCATTTTTCTAATAAAATTTCTCTTCACATAACAATATTGTAAATAATCAAACTTTGTAAATCTATATTTATTATTTATGCAAACAATGTACCGCCACATGTTTATTAGTTATCAATATGAAATTTTTATTTATATATATATAACAAAAACAGACATATAAAAAAATACAAAAGTGGTGCTAAAATTTAGAATTGATTTACAAAGTCTTATGATAACACCTTTGATTTTTGAGCCGAATGAGAGCTTTTTTTATAATTATAATTATAAATGGTATTGATCGTCCTTGTGACATTAAAATACTAATAGTTAAATTAATATTATTTGTTGCTCACTATAATGAGATAGCTTGAAAAAGCATATGAATATTTGTTCAAATCATACTTACTACTTCCAAATACATATTTTAAGGACAAAACATTATCACGAGCTATAAATTAATGATATAACAAATATATCACCGAGTTAATTGAGTCCAATTTATGTAACTGCTATAAGTGTGCGCATGAAAAAATGTGTGCGAAATGTGTATATTATTAATATATGTTATAAATGTAAATAATTATATTATGAATAACGTTAATTGATATTTAAGTTGTAAATGAAAATGTTCAATCTAAAAGTCTGGAATAGTTATATAATGTACTCTGAGTTTTGATATGTGGATATATATAGAAATATTTAATTATGCAATTGAATGGAACCAAGTCTAAATAAAGTTATTTTTGTTGTATAAACTTCGCTTTATTTCTTAAACATTTGGTTTGTTTAATTCACTGTGCTCTTTTGCTAGAATTTCACTGTCGTTTTATCAATAAAACTGTTTTATTCTCAATTATTTTTTGTTTTGTAGAACATGTATCTTATACAAGATGTCAATGTTTCTTGCTTATAATTTAGTGTATAAAGACCGAAAATGAATATTTTTGCTCATTTTTTTTTGATAATTCATATATATAGTATAATCTTATTTTTCAAACTGATCCTAATAAAAACGGCTAAGCCAAAACTTCTCATGTTTGTTCAAGGGGATTTCCAGATAATATATAGTTAAAATGAAATAGTTATAAATTCAAATATTCAATATAAATATTAGGCTTGCAACGTACAGTATATTCCACCTGCCTCCCTGACCAAATATCGAAAATTCGGCAAACTATTCAGCGAAATTTTAGCGCCAAAAATCGTTTGTTTTAATGTAATCACTGGTAATCACTATATTTTTAACTTGCCGTAGGGTAAGTTATAGAAATCGCAAAAAAAACGAAAATGAAAATTTTTATATATCTTTACGTTTCAGAGGTATCTCAATATTTTGGCATACCTTAGAAAAAATGGATGTATGTGTGTTTGTGTGTGTGCGTGTATGTATGTGTCGACGATTTCGGGAACACGGATGAAGCAATTTGAATAATTCAAAAAACATTCGATTCGTATTGATAAGGAGACGTACTGATTAGTTTTTGGCGGAGGCAGGTCTAGCCGTTCCGAAGATACGGGGCAAAAAGTGCCGAAAACGGTAACTCAGTTTAAGAGAACGGAGCGTCCGACTTAAATAATTCAAACAACATTTTATTTGTATTGACTAAATGAAGAACTTTTTAAAATTTTTGGAAAGGCAGGTCCAACGACTTTGGAGATATGGAGGAAAAAGTAAAAAAATGAGCCATTTGGCGGTCAAAAATGAACATTAGACATATGCACATCAAATTATCAGATATTTCATAGAGATTTTAACAACAAGTATAATTTTTTTTCCATTTCTATGGGTTCCGTACCAATGCTTATGCGTTAGACGGCGGCGCGGCACTTGCGCGCTTTGACATTTCGTCTCTATGCAGTTCAAGCAGTACGATTGCTTTGAAAAAAAGTTCAGAATTTCCAAAATATGTCAAAATGAAGAAAACATTTTTCTTTTCAAAAAAATTTTGTTTTCAAAAAAAAAATTTTTTTAAGTAAGTAATTTTTTGTCAAATTTATAGTTTCTCAAAAATCTAATTTTTTCGAAGTAAAATTTTTTCAAAAATGTTAATTGTTTTTAGAAAAATAATAATTTTTGGTACGGGAAGTTCCAGCAATTTGCCCTAAGGAACGATGCCTTAATTGCCTTAGGACAGAATTCCACTTACAGCTAGTTATAGTAATATACATATATATTACTGGAACGGTGATTTTTTAGCGAGGTGTTGCTAGATTTGCGACGACTACTCGATTATAATTTTGTTCCGGCATATTAGACACTTTTTATGTTATTTAGCCGAAAACCGAATATTTAAGTTATAGCCAAACTAGTGGTGTATGGCATCGTGCCTTAAGGCAAATTGCTGTAGTAACTACTACGAAATTTATAAGATTTAAAGTATATAAGCAAGCTTTAGAACTTTAGCCAGGATTAAAATTAAAATTTTCGATTTTCGGCCCATTACTGCAACTTACCCTACGGGAAGTTAATAAATTTGTTATAGCTAAAATTGATAAAATTATTACTTTATTCATTAAAATAATTAACTATAGTGGTGTATCGCATCGTGCCTTGAAGGAAATTGACGCTGTAGATAATAAAGTCAAGGCTAATCGGGTTTGAATACCACGTCTGTAAGATAATTTTTTTTAATACCTTTTATGTTTGTATTGTTGATACTGCATAAACTATTTAAAAATTGATGCACTCGAAATAAAATTTGTTCATTCTAACAATGAGCCTGCTTAATTAGATTTTGTTTATATATAATTCATTCAAACGTATCTAAACAACGTCGACTAATCTTTTCGTTTCACATTTTTTGTGATTTTGTTCTATAATATTTATTCATAGACATTTTTGTTGACTGATTATTTTTATTCTTCGAATGTTTAATTACGCGTAAAAACCGCGTTACGAAAAGTTCCAGCCGCGTTACGGGAAGTTGGCATCGTGCCTTAAGACAAATTGCTGGAACTTCCCGTACCGAAAATTATTTTTTTAAGAAGATTAACATTTTTGAAAAAAATTTACTCTAAAAAAATAGATTTTGACAAACTATAAATTTTTTCAAAGCAATATTGCTTTGAAAAAATTTATAGTTTGTCAAAATCTAATTTTTTTAGAGTAAATTTTTTTCAAAAATGTTAATCTTCGATATCGTACTGCTTTAAATGCATAGAGACGAAATATCAAAGCGCGTAAGCGCCGCGTCGCCGTCTGACGGATAAACATTGGTACGGAACCCACAGAAATGTAAATAAAATTTATATATATTGTTAAAATCTCTATAAAATATCTGATAATTTGATGTGCATATGTCTAATGATCATTTTAGACCGCCAAATGGCATTTTTTTTTTACTTTTTTTACTAGATCTTTGAAACCGATCTTTTACTAGACCTGCCTTCATGAAAATTTGATCAGTTCTTCATCTTGTTAATACAAGTAAAATGTTTTTTGAATTATTCAAATCGGACGCTCCGTTATCTTAAAAACTGAGTTGCCGTTTTTAGAACTTTTTCCCCATATCTTCGGAACGGCTAGCCCTGCCTTCGCCAAAAACTAATCAGCACGTCTCCTTATAAATACGAATCGATTTTTTTTAAATTATTTAAATCGCTTCATCCGTGCTCCCGAAATCGTCGACGAAAATTTGTATCCGCACACACAAACATACACGCACACACACACACACTATGTGTCATCCATTTTTTTCTAAGGTATGCCAAAATGTTCAGAAGGTTTTGAAACGTAAAGGTATATAAAAATTTCATTTTAGATTTTTTTGCGATTACTATAACTTGCCCAACGAGAAGTTAAAAACTTATCTCGTTCTATTAGTCTCCATATAACGCGATTTGTACTAACTCTCAGTCCCTCATAGCGCGGTTTTCATACAAGACGATTGGCAGGCATATAGGAGGTTTTCATAGGACGCACTACAAATTAGTCTGAAACATATGTTAAATTCAAGTTTTTCATAAAACGGTTTCTATATTACACAGTATTACCGTATTAACTGTTTATATAACTATAGTGATGTATGGCATCGTGCCTTAAGGCAAATTTAAGTGCCTTAAGACAAAGTAATCGCACTGCTTTAGCTGAATAGAGACGCAATATCAAAGCGATAACCGATGTTACGAAACCCATAAAAATGTAAACAAAATTGATACACATTATTAAAATCTCCATTGACTATCTGACACTTTGATGTGCATATGTCTAATGATCATTTTTGACCTCAAAATGGCATTTTTTTACTTTTTTCACTAGATCTCCAAAACGCTAGATCTGCCTTCCAAAAAATGTAATCAGTTCTTCATCTTGTCAATACAAGTAACATGTTTTTTGAATTATTAAAATCGGCCGCTCCGTTCTCTTAAAAACTGAGTTACCATTTTTGGAACTTTTTGCCCCGTATTCTTTTTGTCGGACAGAACTTTTCGTACAAAAGTAGGCATCAGGTATCCACATTCCGCAAAATTGAAGCCGGGGTCATGATATCTAACGTGCAACATATGAACTTTTGCTGACGACACTGTTATACCGACTACTGGCTCTAATTCTATTGAAGCCAGCAAAACACTCCAAGAACATCTAGTCGCAATTGAACTTTGGTCCAATAAATGGACAATAAAAATTAATGAAAACAGGTCGCGCCATATAAATTTCACGCTGAAAAGGGTAAATGCACTTCTGTCGAGGATATAACCGAAGTCTCCACCATCAAATACCTTGGTATTTATTTGGACCGAAAACTAAACTGGATACAACATATAAACCAAAAAATAAAAGAGCTGCAAAGGAAAGTCAGGTCACTCTATCCTATATATCCTTTATAGGATATTTTATAGGAGGTTACTCCAAGCTATCCCTAAGTAACAAAGTTCTTATTTACAAATTTTCCATAAAACGTATTTGGACCTATGGAGTCGAGCTCTGGGGATGCGCCAGTAAAACACGAATCAAGACCTTACAGAGATTTTCAAGCGCCGCGATAAACATTGGTACACGGAACCCATAGAAAAGTAAACAAAATTTATACTTATTGTTAAAATCCTTATAAAATATCTGATAATTTTATGTGCATGTATCTAATAATAATTTTTGACCGCCAAATAGAGTTTTTTTTACTTTTTCCATTAGATCTCCGAAATCGCTAGACCTGCTTTCATGAAAATTTAATCAGTTGTTCATCTTGTCAATACAAGTAAAATGTTTTTTAAATGAATAAAATCGAACACTCCGTTCTCTTAAAAACTGAGTTACCGTACTTTTTGCCCCGTATCTTCGAAACGGCTAGACTTGCCTATGCCAAAAACTAATCAGCGCGTCTCCTTATCAACAGCAATCGAATGTTTTTGAATAATTGAAATCGGTTGAACCGTATTTTCAAAATCGTCGACGAAAATTTGTATCCGAACACACACACTTACACACACACATACACATACACATGCACACACACACATACACACACATACATCCATTTTTTTAAGGTATGCCAAAATGTTCAGAAACCTCTGAAACGTAAAGATATAAAAAAAATTTCTTTTTCGATTTTGTGCGATTACTATAACTTACCCAACGGGAAGTTAAAGAAAGAAGTGTGTTGTCAATACGCAAGATAACAACTCGAAGTATCTGAGGTTAATCAAGTCGTCCACACACCAACCAAATACAATTCACCAAACGCACTTGCAAAAACATTTGCACCAGATTTTTTAAAAGATAAAGAAAAAGTTAACAAAAACATATAAAAAAAGTTTTAAAAGTTAACAAAAAATATTTTTTGTTAAAAATTAATCATATAGTCATTCACAGTGGCTTGGTGAATCATTGTAACATGTTCCGTAGCCCATTTAGCTATTGTGTCCGCTTCTTCGTTGCGTACCAGAGTGGGATCTAATCCAAAATATTTTAACCATTGAAATCGATTTGGTATAGGGGTAGGTTCTGGTTCTGCTCCACAGATGAGTCGATCCACACTCCTGGTCTGGTCGACTGCCTCGTATATTGTCAATAGAACAATTAGGTGACCACTGGTAGAACATTTGTCCCAGTTGGTAAAATCCTCCCAACTCCTATCATATTCGGGTGTCTTGGGTAGCAGTAGATATTAATTTGAATCATTGGTGGTAGTATTGTCTCTTCGAATTCGTGAGTACTTTATTTTCACTTTTATTTAGGTATTAGCTGATAGATGATTGTCCTAGCACACTGATTGAACTTTAGAATTTATTCTTTCTTTTTGGGACGGATTAAGTTTACAGACGGACATAAATTCCGCTTATTCTATCATAAGACTACTACAAAGCTACGTCTTGTTCATGCATTCTCGATCTGACTATTATATGTACTTTGATTGTTTATCAAAGTCGCGCAAAAGATTGTTGCCTGTCCTCATGGACCATAAAAGAAAAATTTATTGTCCTCGATAAGTATATAAAAAAACTAGTGGGGCGCATGATATCATGCCCAATCACGCCTTAACGCAAATTGCTGCAACTTTCCGTACCAAACAATGAATTTAAAAAAAAAGATTAAATTTGTTTTAAACTTTGAAAAAATTAGATTTTCGAGAAATGTTACTTTTTTGGAAAAAAATGTTTTTCAAAATGTTTAGTTTGAAATATTTTGGAAATTTTGAACTATTTAACTTCCCGAAGGAGAAGTTTATGTTTTCATCAAAAAATCCGAATTGCTAATTTTATGTTTTCTCGACGTTTCAAGCCACTCTGAATCGAATGAGACCAAATTTGGAAAAAGTATGTGTGTGTGTGTGTGTGTGTGTGTGAACACATTTTTTGCCGTAAATCGACGTTTTCTCAAAAACGGTTAAAACCGATTTCAAAAATTTAAAAGCCATTAGATGTATCTCGATGAAGATTAAGCGTTTCTAAGTTTTGTGCGACGATCGGCCGAGCCGTTTCTTTGTAAATCGCAGAAAAGTGAAAAATTTTTCATCCACGTTTTAGCCTGAATCGATTTTGAAAATTCAAAAGCTGTTCGAAACATATTGGTTGGGAATCGACCTGATTAGTTTTTGGTAAAGATCGGCCGGGCCGTTTTCTTGTAATAAGGTGTTAAAAATTTTTTTTTCGACGATTTTCACGATTTTTTTTGACGGTAGATACCATAGTCTTATAGATTATACTAAAATATTACGGTCTTACGACAAGTCGTTTAATTTTAAAAAATCGTCAAAGTTTGCAAAAATTAGTGTCATTTTCTTGGCGTTTGTCAAAATTACAATTTTCATCGACGTTTGCTCAAAAAAGCCAATCGTTGTATTTCGATCGATCGGCCGAGCCAATTCTTTGTAAATTGGAAAAAGGTGTTAAACTTTTCGTCCACATTTAAGCTCATACTACCGAATCGATTTTCAAAAATGAAAAACTGTTCGAAAGATATCATTTGGGAATGATACTGATTAGTTTTAATTGAAAATCTATCGAGCCGTTTTCTTGTAATTCACTGTTGAAAAAAAAAATTAAGCCGATTTTTATGGAACTTTTTTTGGCGATATATATCCTGGTCTTATAGAACTTACTGTAATATTACGGCCTTACGACAAGTAGTTTAATTCTAAAAATTCATCAAAGTTTGGGAAAATGAGTAGTGTAAAAGGTATATATATGTACTGTAAAATAACTGAGACGGCTTTCAGAGTATTGGTATTGTATTTAAATATATATACAGATATTTACAAAATATAGTGAATTCTGACAAGATGCAAGGTTTTAAAAAGTCTTCTTATCGCTGGAAGGATCGGAGCCAAGCTTCTAGATTGAGCCAGTCACCAAGCGTTCGAGTGTTTATTTCCGTGTATCTCAACGTACTATATCCACTTTGGAACGTCGGTTCAGACTCTCTCAAGTTGCTTTTAATAAGTGTTCCGACTGAGTGTACTAACTTATTGGCACGCTGAGAGCTGATCCGCAAAGAGACAGATTCTGGAACGGGGCTCTGGTTTTATACTCTGGAGGTCCATCGAAGCCCATCCCTCGTTGCTCTGGGGGTAGGTGGTGGACATTCTCCCATCTCGTTCCATCTTCCCTGTTTGCGATGGTTTGTTCCTTTTCCCCATCTCGTCTTGGTCTTCGGTGGTCATGTCCTTTTCTGACCTGTACTTATACTTAGACCTGACCCCGTCGCAATGATGCAATTGCGTTTGTGTGCTCATGCAATATCTTCTTTCTCTTATTACCGACGTGCTTGCCTGTTCTCGCGCACGCAGTCGAACTACCCTCAGCGAGCCTCGATGCGTCTCGGTGCGCCTACAAATACTAGCGACAAGTGCACATATACCGTTACTTGTCGCGACACTGTGTACTTAGCATGGGCCGCACTGGGGTGTTTTTAGCTAGATATTTAACATGCTACAGTAGTTTTTTTGGCGTTTGTTAAAATTAAAATTAGACGATTTACTTGGTATAACGATAGTTATTTGGTCTTAATAAACATACTAAACCATTAAAATCCTACGGAAA